TTTATGCCTCTAGCGAGGCACAGTATGCTTTCATGACACGCAGGTAATTATTTTGGGTAAGCTATTAATCAAGGATTTCCTGGAATCCAAAAAGAGCAAGTTAAACAATTTATGACCAGATAAGAAATACATAATATTTGGTCAAAGCTGACCAAACTCCAACCTGCAGCACAATCTGAGTTAACTCTACGAACCTAATATAAGGTTTTAAGCACTGGCCAGTAAAACAAAGAGTGGTAGCTTCAGACGTGTCTGTCGTGGTTCCTCACTCCTCTGCACTCATTTAGAGAGAACCCTTATTTTTACCAGTGGAGTAAGGCTGGCACCAGACAACTTAAAATTTTCATTTTGTGGAGTATGAAAACATTTGTCGTGTTTTTCACATCTAAATCAATCTAAATTGTGTTTTATGTGAAGTTTGATAAGCTGTCTGATTTCATGGCTCCTTGGGTGTTTCAGTGTCAAATAGTATGCCTTTTTTTTTTTTGACCAAGTCATTTTTGCTGAAAAATTGGCATCCCGTACTTTTTAACGTTTTCAGTGAGGTGGGAGCAGTTAGGTCATTTGTATTTTATGCCAGTCAAAACCACAATATCCTATTTCTTTCCCCACACTGGATGATCAGGGCACTCCCCTATGATTTGCAGCTTTAGTTTCCAGCCTCCGAGAGGAAGAGGCTCTGGAAAGAGCCTAGAAGCCAGTACCACAAACTTATTTACAGAGTGATTCTGCCAACCACAAAGATATTGTGCGAAGGTAGGCTGCACCACAGACCTCTTTTTTGGTCTCAATGCTATTATGTGTTTAGAGTTTAAGACTGTCTATTCTGTGACTTGCAGATACTTTAGCTGGAGATGTATCAGTTCAGCTCAACCAGAGAAGTAATTCTCCCTTTGGAAGAGAATTAATGAGCAGGAGAGTTCAGATGCTGGAGGTAGTCTAATCACATATGCATTATTTCTACTTACCATACCGTATACCACTGTTATTTCTAGCTGAAACATTTACCAGGGAGATTTATTTAGGTTGTGGATTTATCTCACTGCTAAAATGGTAGCATGGGAGATGAACTGTGCTCAGCTCCTTAAAAACTGTCTCCAGATAATATCATTTCAAAATGAAGTGAAATAAATGCATGTCCAAAATGCTGCCTTTCACAACATTAGTGAAGTCTGGAGTGCTATGACTTTTACATCCTGGAAGATAGATCTTGTTCAGGCACAATTTCTTAGGATCTTGAATGGCAGGTTTACAGCCCCCTGTCATCAGACAAGGATAACAGGAAAAGCTTGTTGCTTCTAATTCCTTATTGGAATAAAGAACTATAATTGGCCCTACCAGTACTTTCTTTCTGTTTCATCGCAGAATATTAATCAAGAACCTGTATGTACTATGTCAGAGTAAACAAAATGTGTTGTATTCGTTTCATCTCATTTTCCAGTGTTACATGGAGGAGACCCTTAGGTGCGCTTTGGGATAGCTTTTAAAAACAGGTTTACCCTTCCTTTTATAAGTAGGCAAAGCAGAAAATCTCCACTGGAAATGAAATAGAGTCTCTCTAGGTATGAAGCATGTCAGATACTATCATCCAGTTTGATTCGGTATTTCTGGTTTACGTTATCACTAGCACGCTACTGTTTTTAAAATCACTTTGTGTCCTGCAGGATAAGATAGTAACATACTTTCCTTTGGCTTTCAAGCTGTAATTAGGTTGGGTTTAGTTTACCATTTTAATGAGGAGAACTTCCTACACAATTCTCTGTATCATACATAAACATGGATTCCTGTTTATTCATACGGAGAGATCTGTTAGTACTCTATTATAACAACATCTGTATCTTGAAACAAAATGCACTCATTTTTTAAAATCTATGAATGAACAGCATGAATAACTAGTTTTATGGAATACTAAGCTGATTAAAAGTTCAAATGTACACAATCACAGTGAGCCTCCTGAGCTTATTTAATTAGCATTCAGACAAAAATGAACACGCAGAGAGTAATATTCTTGTAAGTTTTGACACATTTCTTTGTTCTTCTACTCATCAAGATACAATGGATGTTCAGGGATTGTTTTATAGCTAGGTCAATGAGGGTAGAATAAGGCCTGTAAGGCCTGTTTGTATAGCTGGCATCTTCACCACCTTAGGGAGCTGGCAGAAATGTGTTGCAAACTCCCTTGCAGCCCACTCACCGAGGCTTCATCCCCCTGGGAATCCACTGGTGATGGGGCAGGCACCAGCGCATCCCCAGCTCCCTCCCCACTGTAAACTGAGCCTGTGGGTCCTGAGCTGAGAAGCACTTCCCCTCCCACAGCTGAAACACAACCCTTATAAGCTAGATGCAACAGAACTTTATATGGGAAGACAGAGTTGGTGCAGAAAGTGAAAAAGTTTCCTTCCTGTATAGACTGTGTAGACTGCAATGGGGCTGACTTGAATTACTGTGCCTACATTGGCATGAACACAGGGACTGCTCCCTGTCTACTACTCTGATATAATTAGGTGATGTGAAAAGTTGGAAGAAAAAGTCAGTGACTTCATGGTGTTCTATGATGCAAGCATCTGCCTTTACTGTAAAAGAGACATGGCTATGCTTAAATGGTACTATCTATACCAGAGAACCTGCTTTTACTTCCTCTGTTATCAATAGAGAAGAAAGCGACAGTGAAGATGTTATCATAGTATCTGAAAATTAGGTGATTCTAAGAGAACGAAGGTGTTCTTTTCTAGAAAATTTTCAGATATTCCCACTGGATTCAGAGCTGCTGTTGTACTGCATTGATGGGAAATGTACGGGCACAGCAGAGCTGCAGCAGAGCTCTAGATTAAGTGAACACTCTGAAATGTAGTCAGCAAACAATGTCCTGCAGGACCATTCTGTACAGCACAGTATCCATGAAACTAGAGTGCAGTTCTGACATACAGTTTCCTCACGTCCTGCCCCAGAAAGTTGAGAGTGGTGAAGCTTTTATGTAGAAACAACTGAATAACGAGAAAACATTTTCAAGTGGTGGTGGCAAATTCCCCATGAATGCCTGTGACCATATATGAGAATATTTTTGCTGAGATAGTACTGAAGTAAAGTATTGAACTGGTGATGAACCAGTGCCAGAGTAGGGGTCTGAAGAGTGGCTTAAAAATGAACTTTTAGTGATAAAACGAAGGATAAAATCCATTTATAGAAGAAAAAGAAAGCTTCCTTCGAGGGCTTTGAATGTAGAGTTTGCATCTGTCTCCATGAAACATAAGTTTTGGAGACTTCTGGAGAACACCTAAAGCTCTAGCATGCCCTATATGCATGGGCGTATATTCATGCATATAAATGCATATAAGCATATGTTTAACTTAATATTTTTCCTAGAAATTCTTCACTAATTGAATATCAACAGTTTTAGCGTTTCTGATGCTAATTTGTATCTGTAAAGGTGTTTTTAACAGGGCTTTTAACTTGTACAGTAGAAAATGGCTGTGTAACTTTATCAAGCTCCTGCAGAAACAGCAAATGCGCACTTTTCATGAAATCAGAGCATTCCTTCAGCAGGCTGTAGATATTGCCTTGCTGTATAATTAACTAGCTCCAGTACCTTTGGTACAGATGAATTTACCAAGAGCGTGTCTCTGAAAGGTCAACAGATAACTCAGTCTAGCCAAACGTCTTTCCAAGTTTTAGATTGCACAAACTTGAATCTTGAGAAAGATCCTGAATGATTCCCTTTTAATAAAATATAGTGCAGTTTTGCCGGTGAAGTGTCAATTTTTTTTTTCCCTGGAACGTGTTGTTAAGGCACACTGTCTTGTTTTCTATTCACCATTTGGGCAACACTGCTACCATGCATGGTGAAAATCACTTCGAGTAACATGGGCTGCTGACTGATCCAACATTGGCGAGCTGCTGTCCGTGACATGAATGCGTCCACCAAAAGGTGAGAAGCAGCATCACGTAGTTAGATTTCATTCAGTGGCTTAGACAAATATTTCATTTTTATCAGTGCAGTGCTTTTTGGGACAAAGAAATCCTGGGTCACTTCACTCAGTAGAAAATACATTTGGCACTTCAGTGCTGACACTGTAACCGTTATTGCCCAATGGCCTGTTGTAGTACTTTCCAAGCTTACATTGTTCATGCCTTAATCACTTCCCATCTTAACTATTTCTGTTAACATTTCTGTGATCTTAACTCTTCTAGCTTCTCGGTGACCAAAGTTCAGTGGCTAAATCACTGACTTACTCAAGGAAATGGGAACATTCCACCCTTCTCCTCCAACACCTTTCACTGGCCTAGATAGTTTTAAGGACAGTTCAAAATGTGCTATTTGTCTTCCAAACCTTTTCCCTATAACCTGAAGTAAATGTCCACTCTGTGACGATAACTTTGACCAAATTTTGATTGAGCTATTCATGATTTTCAAATTGGCCAAATGGCTGCTGCATTTCAAATTTTTAGCTTAGCAATAAAAATTCTCATGAACCACAATTATGGCATAATATACCAGTGAGTTGAATTTCCTCAAGGTATCTCTGAGCACCATCTTCTGGACATGATTTTCAGGGGAGAGTTTGGGCATAGCAATTAAGTCCAGCTCTTATGGGGTTCCCTGGATCTGCATATAAATATCTGGTCTTAAAAGGCAATATGTACCTTTGAGGTTCTCCCAGGTGCAGCAGCTACACATTTAAACAGCCATTGTATATAAAAAGATCGGGTGAAACTGGGTGAAATCTTGGCCCCTGTGGGTCAATAATAAAACATGTAGTAAGTAAAGATCTCTCTCCTCTAAATTTAGCTGTCTGAAAAGCAGAAATTCTTTCATTTAGACATTTAGCCTAAGCATGTGTTCCTTTTAAAGTTAGCTGAAGGAGAGGCTCTTCCAGAAGGTGATTTGGCTAGTTATTTTAGACACCTATTTCACAGTTGGTTGAATTGCTCTCAGGAGGCAATTCCTCACCCTTAACTATAGGCAGCCTAAGGGATTGACTTAGAATAAAATTAAAATCTACCTCTCTTAAAGCTGTTGTCAGCTGTGCATTGACTTCCATGGTTTCGTCTGAACAGTCTTGGGCTTCGTCTGACATTCTGCACTGTGTGGTTCTGCCCGGAGTTACTCTGATTTCACTGGAAGAACAATTGTCACTAATTTTTGGTAGGTTTTGGGCCACAGTTAGGGTTGGTGTCAAACAACATTTCTTAATTCTTTTCTTCGTATTTCATTAAAATGGGGGCATTCAGTATTTATATGCCAGTTTTAATGCTATGTTGGTTAAAAAAAAGGAATAAAACATCTTGATTCATAAGAAATAATAGGAAATTCTGAAGTTCTTTGTTCACAGTTTTAATCACATTTTATATGGTTGTTCATAAAATGGAAAATATGGTTCCTGCAAAGCTCTGCTCAAAGTACAAACAGCTGTCTTGATGGAGACACCTTCTCAGAGATCTGTTTTAGTTATGAAAACCACTGATGAGTAATAGCTGCATAGAATTTGGTATAAGCTTATTTTAGTTACGTTGCAATTGCTTTACAGAACTTGTCAAAGGTTAAAAATACTCAAAAAATAGAGGATATCAGATATAAAGAAAATAATATCCTTTTGTATTTTAATTACCGCTGTCAGCGGATTGTGTAGCACTTTCCTTTGCTTTCACTCTTCAAACACTGTTTCTCAGTGGTTGCTTCTCACGCACCTCAGCAGTTGTTTCTCCCTTAAGCTATGACTTTGTGAACCTATTATTGCTAATTAGGTGTAGATTTACAGCAAGTAGTAATTTTCTGGTAAATGTCTATGTGCACATACTTTCCGCTAGTAAATGTGAGGTGTTTTACCAAACTTCTAGCAAGATATAATGAATTGATGAGTCAAAGACAAATGTGGAAATAATCAGTGAAAATGGAAATTACAAACTTAACTGTGAGGAATTCAGAATCCACTGGATCGTTAGGCCTTACCAGAGTCTTGAAAAGTGGCGGATTGTAGCAGAATGTAGAGTTTTCCACTTGCTTCCATCATCTCATATTCACAAAATTAGTCATCCTTTGCTTCCCCTTGTTCGGCCTTACACACAATAGATATAGAGGAATCCACTGGGATAACTATGGAGTTCCAAACTATTGAACTATATTTATTTAGATTAGAAAAACAAAAGCAGCAAACTTTACTGATGAACATCACAGACTAAAGGAACAATGCCTTTAGAAACATGCAAATAGATTTCCTTTAATTCTGGAAGGAGGTCTTTGACATAAACAGTGTGGTAAATTATTTAGCCTCTATTTTTTTGGAGGCTGAGCTTGCTAATGTTCCAGATGTGAGAGAACAGGAAGTTCTATCATTTCCTCAGAATATGTGGTGTGTAGACTGTTTTTTTTACTGTGGCTTAGTAAAATGAGAAGAAAAATAAAATAATCTTTTTACAATTTTACAAATACGTTATAGTATTAGTATTATTCACAACATGACTTTTTCTAATTTTTTATTTTTTCCTAAGCACCATAATTGTTTTCTACTTCGTAAGAATCATTCCAGCAATAGATATCCATTTGTACTGCAAGTGGCCTGAGAAATCATTAGGATGGTATTTTGAAAACAGAATTACAGAATATTAAGCACTGTTAATAACAGCAAAACAGTCTTACAAAAACAATGGAATCTATATTGACTTTTAATGATGATTAGTAATACACGTGTGGAAATACATTTTCCGCTACAAGTACAGTAAAACAGCATGTGATATCACTGGTTAGGTAGATTTCCTAATTAACCAATGAGATTAGAAAATCAGTCTTTGAAATTAAAAAGACATAATTAAAATATATACAGATAACTGTATAACTGTTTCCAGTCTGGTAGTAGCTAAGGTGGAGTACATGTTCCTTTAGTAATTTCCCCATTAATTCATATTAATGCTAATTTTTTTGAGTCTTTCTTCTTCTATAAACTCAGGTCTTCAACACTGTGCACTTTTCTTAAACACAGAAATTACTAGAGTAAATTCTTTCCAAACAAATGTATATTTCCATGTATATGCATGCAAGTTTTACATATTTTTCTTAAGAAAAATAGTGAGCAAAAGAAATGCTGAACGCCGTCTTTCGGTCATCTTCTTTAGGGTTCCATTCTGCAATCTAACACTGTTTCTGTCAATAAGAAGATAGCCCTGGGTCCTCAGAGTCGTGTATGATAAGCTTGAACAGTTTAGCTGAGAAAGCCGGAGAAGCGAATTGGTAGAAGGGACAGCACTGTTCTCAGCTATTCACAGAATACTGAATGTTAACAGAAAGAAACAAAGCAGTATTAAAAAATGTTAAAACCAATGACATTTGATGAGTTGTTGTTCTGTAGACCTTCTCAATCTGATAATTTTACTGATTCCACAAACGTTGGTAAGTCCTCAAGGACAGGTAAAAGTTGAGCTATGTGTAAAGGCACATGTCCTGAAGAATAAAACAGGCAAGCTAGCATTTTCCAAGAATATCTTTCGTTGGATCATCTTTTAAAATTTACTACATCCTATGCAATCCTAGCAATTCCTATTTGGTCTTAAAATATTAACATTCCAAGATAAATGTTGACATACTGAATAAACAAACACCTGTGAATGGTTTTCTAGCTAAATTCATGAGTTAATGTCCTAAATTCAGAAACAAAACAAATTCACCAGTAAAGATTACTAGAGAGGGATTCCCCTGTGTCTAATTAGATTAAAACCTGATCTTCATTAAATGTTCAATTGTTTAATCTATTGCACTATACTTAAGTTAGTTTTAGTGTACCTGTGGTCATTAAGGATGAGTTATGCTATATCTGAAGCTTTTTGAAATTTTGGATCTAATTCAGGTACAAGTTGCACAGGGAGAGGCAGTGTGATGAATTATAGTCCTGCCGTATAGTCCCAAGTCTGACAGAATGACAGCATGCCTTTGTAAAAAAAACATGCCAAGCAGCAGGTATGTCAAACACAGCAGCAGGTATCACAAACAACGCATCTATGTTGATAGATTTCAAGAATGGCATATCAGTGGCCAGTTGGAGCTATACTGAGCCCTGAATTGCATAGGTCCTGAAAAAAGCTAATGTCTGTTCCTAGGCCTACAAGTGTGTGGGCAACATTAGTATAAAAGACAAATTTTATTCTTCCCCTCCAAAAGAAACCTCAGACCAGCGAAATTTCAAGTTACAGGGTTGCATGAAACGTAACCTATTACATCTATGTTACAAGATAATCATTTAGGCAGCATGGAAAGGGATGTAGTAACTCTAGTTACATTTGGAGTGAAGAGGATATGAATTATCAGTACCAATACCGCTTAATAATTGAGGACTATTTCATACCATATATTTACTTCCAACAAAATCTGACTTAAAACACACCACAATATGGCAACAAATTCAAATTTGTCACATTCATGTTAGAGGCGCTTATGCTCTGCAAAGTGCCAGAACTCCTCAGATTTTGCTAAGAGACATATTTTGAGAAGACTGCACAACGAAAGCCCCTAAGAGACTATTAATAAATTAATAAATAAATTAAAGAGCCTATCATAAATTGCTTAGCTCCCAGTAGCTTGCCAATAGCCTACCAAAAGTTATACTGTGATAAGGGGAAAGGGGACCACACACCTGGCAATAAATACTTCTTTCTTATCATGAAATAGAACAGTGTAAGAGATAAAGACACAAGTTTGGATACTCAGTTACATCTCAAATATCATCTGCAGGTGCGCTGATCACTCCAAAGTCTTCATAAAATTAAAGCTGTTCCCACCAGCGGGTGTCAGACGTATGGGTGCTTCCATACTTGAACATACCTTTGAGTTACATTTTATTGTTTCATGTTGCTTAGTTGATTCTCGCTTTTGACAGTGACTTGGGAGATATGACTGGATTTGGAAAGCAGAGCCCTACGTTTCCTGCAATCCACCTAAAGGGAAAATTGAACTGCATTGGAGATGAGCCATCAAATATTGCTTTTTTGAGACCCTTGAAAATACGCAGGCTGATGAATTGGACTGACTGAGCAGGTATATCTATATCTCCTGCCTTTTCTCATCTTGATTATGATTTCATCTGTTTTGTTTTAATATATGCCATATAGATCCCCATGTTGACAGTATTTTGACTAATACCTGGGAAATCAAGTGCTGCATAAACGACCTGCTCTCCTCTCAACTCTGGTGACTGCTATTCTCATACTTATCCTATTGATGCACAGCTGCAATTTATTTGCTTGGCTATAAGAAAAAATATCAAAAAATACTAATAAATGTTGTGTCACCTAGAGCTACAGGGGTGCTTGTCCATGATGGGCGCTCTTGGTGTTGTTGCAATGTAGTTAACGGTATGATTGGTATCATAGCACGAAGGTGGTAAAGAATAGATGAATAGCTATTTTTAACCAGATTTCATGAAATGAGTAACAGAACTAAACAGCATCATAAAATATAAAAGAATCTGAATCACACTGATATAACTCAGGAGTAATTCTCGGGAACTCAGTGACATTCTCATGTTGTTACTGTAGCTTTCAGAATAATTTGTTCCCCCAAAGGTCTACTTTTAAGAACTGTCTAAAAAACAGGAAACTATATTCAGCAATCCTGAATACACCTTGGACCATAGCAAGGAAATAAATAGCTCCTTTCCACTCCGAGTTGTTGGCTGTGCTCATGCATTGTTTTTTGGCTGGGCAACAGCTGTGAAGAGAGGAATATTTTCCAGATAGAGATACAAAAATGCCCTTAGGATGCAGACATTTTTACCACTCTTTGCGAACAGTGCATTCTGTTTCAGATATCGAAAATTCAACATGCAGCAGCACATAGTTCACATCTCTTCACTGAAACTCTAATGGTGGTTGGCCTAAACAACACTATGCATGGCAAGGATACAAGGAAGGAAAGTCTTCATGGAAATCAAGCGGCTTCAGAATGTATGATCTTCACAGAATTATGTTTAAACATTCTCATTCTTGTCCCAATCCTTCTCTTAGTGCAGTCAGTGACAAAACTCCTAGTGACTTCAGTGGTATGCAGGCAAATCCT